CGTTTAAACCCATTATTAGATTCAGTTTTTGCCAAAATATCCCTTGAAGTCCGCTTGCATGACGCCTGACATTTCAGATTAACTTTAATACTTTCGGGATCTGGTGTTGCCGTTTTCATCTGCTCATTCGAAAACTTCCTTTTTTGCGTATCAACAGCCTGTTCTATGTGAGAAGCAATAACATCCTTTGCCTTAGCAGCATTCGTCCTTCTTGTCGTTGCTTTGCACTCCAGGTACTTGGATGTCTTGAAAGACTCTGAACAGTTTTTTGATAATTTCACGCCTAGATCGCCGTTACTAACAACAGCAATTTCTCTGATAATCGCTTCACGAGATTGAAGTTCTTGTTTAAAAATTTTTTCAACTGGAAACGTTGATTTCATCAGCACTGATTTGTCGATTTTGACTTTGTTCACGAAGTCAGAAATCTTGATCGATGATCGTCTTTCCATACCCTGAAGCGTAGCGTCAAAGTCTACGGTCGCGTTGTCGAATTTTCTCGGACTTATCGATAAGCCACGTGGCTTAAACCTTCTATTTTCCTTAACCAGTGCTGATTCATCTATCAGTTTATCTATTTCGCTGTGACGACGATCTTCTTCAGTTATTTTATTCGTTGTGGAAACTGGCACTGGATGCGCAGGGATAAGTGACTGAAGAACAGGTGCAAGTTCGCAGTCTGCATTATTCCGCCCTAAGTTTGTCACTTTAGCATCGTCGTCTTGCTCACACTGCGCCTGCTGAGCTTCGCTACTTAGGCCCATTTTGGAAAGCGCTAGTCCTTTGCTCTTGCTAATGAACACGGCATCGTCCACTTTTTTATCTATTTTTCCTGTAAGATGATCATCACTTTTCAGCTGCTTTTCTGACGTTTGACGTATAAATGACGCGTCAAATTTAGTGTCATTTCGAGAGATGTCACTTCGTTCTCTCTGAACATCAGCTTCAATGTTCGGTGGATACTCGACTGTCGATACTTTGACACTGTTATTAGTCACGGTTAAAACTGGCTTGGGTATGGAATCTGCAAAAGCAAAATCTTTAATTTCAACGCCAAGAAGGTTGTTTCCCTTCGCACACTCCATAGTTTCGCTTTGTTCCATCTGATCAGCTCCATCCAATAATGTTTTGTCATTAAATTCTGCATCACTAGTTCTTGGGAAACCCTGGCGATTATTTTCTTTGTCTTCCTCTGTCTTCGATACCTTGTCGTCGATGTCGATTCTGGCTAAATTTAGCTTAGGAGAGGCGTCTGCTAAGGGCAGGTCATTCGTTTCAACGTTGAGAGAACACCTTGGCCTGTCATATTCCATGACCTGATTCTGTTGAACGTGATCTGGTAATCTATCTCCATACGAAGCAGCATCACAGGTACCTGAAACTCTCTTTTCATTTTTTGATTCTTCTCCTTCTGTCGTAATATTTTTAAGGGTGTCAACGGTGGTTAAAATAGGTTTTGGTGAGGCATTTGCAATGTCGGAAAAATCAGTTAGCGTCTCACATTCCATGGCTCTGCTGCGTTCGATCTGCTCAATCCCATCATGTAACGTCTTATCGTTAGAAGCTGAATCACTAGTCACTGAGATCTCCTTGACGTTTCTTGCCATTTTTCCATCAGTCGTCGAGACCTGATTGCTTATGTCAATTCTGACCAAAATCAGTTCAGGTGCTGCTTTTGTAGAACTAAAATCGTTCACTTCAGTGTCTCGATTACAACTTAATTTTTCAGATTTCACAATTTCCTTTTTCTGTTCCACCTGATCAATTCCATCGCGTACTGAAATATTACACGAAACAACGTCGCTGGTCACTGAAACCACTTCATCATCTTTTGTCATTTCTTTTCCCATCGAAGAATTGTCACTGGGATCAATCCTCGCTAAAACAACCCTTGGTGAAGCACGCACAAAAGCTAAATCCTTCACTTTAATGTCGGAAAGATAACTTAGTCTTTCACAATCTACTGTCTTCTGCTCGATCAGACCAATTTCATCATGTAATGCGTTTTCACACGAAACTGTGCCGCTAGACAGTGAGGCGCTGCGGCCATTTTTCGTTTTATCTCGCTCGGTCGTTGAATTCTTATAACTGATGCCAATCCCGGCTAAAACGGAGCAAGGTGAAACGTCTTCCATATCGAAATCATTCATTTCAGTGCCGGAAAGAACGTTTGGTATCTCACATTCCAAGGTCTCATTCTGTTCAACCAGATCAATCCCACACATTAATGCATTGCTTTTAGAAACTGCATCACTGGTCGCTGATACATAACTGTCGTTTTCTTCTACTGTTCCTGTCATCGATATCTTGCCGTCTGCGTTAATTTTGGATAAAATTATAACAGGAGAGGCTTCTGTATAAGAAATAGCATTCCTTTCAACGTCATGAAGACCGCTCAACTTTTCACTTTCCACGGTTCTGTTCGGTTCCACACGATCAACCTTTTCTTGCAATGCCTTCTTACGCAAAACAGTATCGCTGGTCGCTAAAGCTGTCTTGTCATTTGTCGCTCTTTCTCCAATCATCGACGCAATACTGCCGGTATCAATTCGGGTTAAAATGACCTTGGGAACGCAGTTTGTTAAAATTAAATCATCCGTCTTAACGTCGGTAAGATCGTCTGGATTCTCGTATTCCACTGTCTCGCTCTGTTCGATCTGATCAACCTCATTCGGTAATGCCTTGTCACATGACCCTGCGCCGCTGATCATTGATATCACCCTGCCGCTTTTCTCAAATGCTCTTAAAGGGTCGACATTTGTTCTAGGAGCATCATCAACTACTTCCGTCGTGTAGGGAGCTAAAACACAGTAGTAGACAAACACAAACAAACAACGTGCAGATTACCGTTGTCAGTATTCGTATACGTGACACTGGCTGATGATTTCGATCTTTTGGGACATTTCTCGTCACTGATATTTGATGATATGTCGATCAAAGCCTGAAATAAAAACATTTGCACAAACGTAATACACAATAATAAAATGAATAATAGCAGTGAGAAAACATACATCCAACAGTGCTCTGCATTCATCCCAAGAAATAAGCTCTTGTTTCATAAAATAGCCAATGATTTCGTTTGGTTCGTTCAAATGTAAAGGCGCCGATTTCGAAATACGAAAATAATTTTTTAACCAGTCATAAGCATCCACTGGCATCTTCACTTTCCTAAGAATCTTAAAAAAGAGATGTTGACCTCCAACAGTGTAGCGTACCTTTTTGAATCGTTTTGCGATCTCTGGTCCAAAGACTTCTTTAACTTTTCTTGAAAACAGCACTTCTTTTATAAAAGTTTTTCCTACAGGCATGCGCTCTTGCTTCATTTTATTTAACACCTCTCTAAATAACTGTGTTACTGCCACACTATATTCATAATAACTGTCACATCATACTCCAGAAACGGTTTAATCCACTGAATGTCTTCCTTACGCAAACCTTCGGTCTGCAGTAGCGTATCCAGAAAGTATGTTAGTTTGCCTATGACGAAAAATTATTGCCAACAGACTGAAAATGTTAATAAGTTGTAAATACCTCCAGATTTACAAGAAAGAAATCCCATTACTCGATAAATGTCTAGCGACGAACCTCTGAAAGAAACATTAAATTCGCCGAACTCGAATCAGCAAAAAGCATCATCAAATCTCACACAATAATCGTTGTGAAAAATCATACAAATACCATGTTCCGCAATCCGAGGTTGACAGAATTCCCTTATAAAAAGTTCTGTATAAAAGAAAGACACTGACTACACACCCGTAACAAAAGATCTGAAGCCGCTATCTTTATGAACCTCTGAAGAAAGTGAATAATTTCAAAATGCCGTTTTTCTTCCTAAAAGACGCTAATATCTCAAGAGTAAGAAAGAAGGAAAAAAGGTCAGGATGATGCTTGCCAGATTACATCATAAAATTGGGGAAATAAGATCTTTAACTAAAAACCAGAGAAAATAAGCGTATTAACGATATTCAAACTTGTACGTTCCTGATTTCATCTTTGAACGCTGCGTGAGATTTGCCATTGTCAAACTGATACCACAGACGCCTCCAACGACTATTTCTTCCCATTTAATTGTTTCATATTAATCATGTTATTACTGCCAGAATACTAGTTAACCAAAAACATTCGCTTAAAGATAATCACAACATTATAAGAGCATGAAACTGTCAGTAAACACTACAATCTTAATTCTAATGCTGGTTAAACGGTTACTTTAATCAGTAAAAACAGCTAACTGAAAAAAGTTAGGATCGGACAATAACCACTTCATTTACCTTTCATTTTGAAATGACAGAAAGTCAAGACAGCATGATCCTAACGCAGAAAATATATCTTGCCAATATTCCACGTGCTTCTGAAAATAGAAATAAATCAGATCAAGTTACTACAGAATTAGACGGCAAAGTGCGAGAAGGAAACGGCTACATTAGAGCGACTTATCTGGACTGACTGCTAACAGTATCTGATGCGTAAACACCACCTATTTTCGCTAAATAAGCTAATTTTTTGCATTAAAGTAAAGAGCATACACATCTAACCAAAAATCTTAAAAACGGTCAGGACAGATTAAGCAGCAAACAAAGCTACTCACATCAGTTTGGCATAACTAGATGAAACCGAAGTATCAGATTTAACTTCGGTATTACTGACCGTTGTAGCCAAGACAGTAAACGTAGAGTTCCCGCAATCTTTGTATCGATAGCTAGCAACATGCTAGTAAACCCATAAGATCGAGTGTATTTCCCGCAATCTTCTTCTGTTAAACTTTCCAATAATACCCTATGCTTCTGACGTTGTTTGTAACCACAGAATGAGCTAAGATGGAAGCTTTAGTTCGATATACTGGAAATACCGTTCTGATCTGCACATATCAGCTGCTTACTGCATTAACATTGCAGTCAGCTTCTGATGCAACACAAGATGAGGACAAGGAATACCATGACAAAATCAACAGTGCTAAATCGAACACTGCATAACATATAATCATAATTCTGAATAAAAAGGTTAGCGAAACAGCGCTTTCGCCCCTTACCATGTCAGCTTCCTATGAAAGGCTACTTAAAAAACTGCATCGTCACAACAGTTTTTTAACATTCAAAAATCAGTTCTTACTTACCTTGCTGAATGATTCAGAAATTTTAGATTACAAAAGATAGCACTAATAGCAGTACCGTATGCAATTATGACCAGTGTAAATTTAAAACATACTAAATTTCGTTAACAAGATGCGTATGCACAAAACACTTACGATGACAAAGTTCTACCGACACGAGGTAAAAATCTACCAAAAAGAGCAACTTGTGGAAAAAAAGCAGGATTAATCTAACATGCACAGGGCAATAAAGTAAGATTTCAAACAACAGAGTGTGAAAGAATAAACGATTATGCAAAAGTAGCCTTAAATAATTCTCCTTCTGCTTTGAGAGTATGCATATAGTGCAGAGAGTGAACAAACAGTCAAAGAACAATGAAATGTACAATTCTGAGCTGCAAAGGCGTGTCAGGTTGAAACGAGACTATTACAACGGAGGTTGACAGAACTCTTTACATCTTTAATGCACAATTCTTTTACTACAAATCCTGATGGAAAGATTTGGGACCACCGTTTGTAATAATTCCTGAAAAAAGCAAATGAAAAAAATTTTTGGTGCAGTCTACCACTAGGTCTGCAAAGGCCATGACGATTCAAGAGCAAAATGGCAGAAAACCTGGATTAAAACGCCAGATGGATAATTTCTGAGAACAGGAAACTTCCTTCACGACTTG